TTTAAGAGTTGTAGATAGATTAGTACTATTGTAAATATACTCATATTTTTTTTTATATAAATCGGACATTTCTTGTGGTCTACTTCATTTAATTAAAATAATATAATTTTCAATTATTATTTAATTTAATAAGATTTAAATTTAATTTATTTAACTTAACTAATACAGTTTCTAATTATTTAATTTAAATAATCCCCCTATATATTAATACAGAACGCGCTGAGCCTATGTGGCTGCTTCTGGTGCTTCGGAATCCTATGTGGCAAAATTATATGCTTCGTTATTAGACTTGGATAAATTTTAATTTAATTCCAAACCAAATATAGTTAGGTTCGGATTACCATAAATATGTTGATTATTTATGGTCATATTACATGTATTAATTGTTTTTTAATATCATTCCTTATTATAACTATTTAATTGTATATATATTTTCAAAGTTAATAACTTTTTGTATTTTTTATCAATTTTACATATGTAATATATCAAATTAATCTTCTTTTGATGAGCTTCGATTTAACATCCATATTGTATATATAAAAAAATAATTTATATTTATTTTTATAACAATAATAAAATTATTCTTAATATTAATTAGAAAAATAAACTTATTTATCAACTAATATATTTATATTTCAAGTAGTTATATGATATAAGTTATAACAACTAATATAATATAAGTTATATAATATAATTTATAATATGATATAAGTTATAACAACTAATATAATATGTTGTACCAAAAAAAACAACTAATATAATATAACATATGTAAGTCATAAGTAACACATATCATTCTAAAATATATAGTAATATTTTTTTTTTGTAACTAAATTTAATTTGGTTTTTTTCATTAATTTTGAAATATAAAAATAATTTTTTAACAAGCACCCGTGTAATACACGGGTGTTATACTAGTATTTAAAATACTGCCAAATTTAAATTTATCATCTCCCCAAATACCAACCTAGTTTATTTCTAAAGTAATGCTATAAGTACATAATATTGTACATAGAGGTGTACATAACATTCACGTTGAGTGAGACCCACTAAAAATAAAAAATCAAGTGGACCCCATTCCATGTAAGACGCTATCGACCCATATATCTTGTTCACGCTTTGTTCATCGAAAAAAAATAAAATAAAAAATCATACCTTGTTCACGCTTTGTTCTTGGTGGGATTTCCACTCTTCCTTAGTAAATGGTTGCAGTGAGACGCTATCGACCCATATATCAACTTTTGAGTTTTGACTCTACACACAAATAAATTAAAAAAAAAAAAAGATGGAAATTTAAACTAAAGATATTATTTTGGTTTTAACAACTATTAATCAAATAAACGACGTTTCGAATTTTTTGTACATATTTTTTTCCATTATTACACCGATTTAGCTAATAAATACACTACGCATTTTCATATTCACTTTTAAAATTTTCACATTATTAATTCGTCTCTAGCTTTAGCAGTTCATCATCATTCATGGTTAGAGTGTTTGCCTTCACCCTTATGCGATTTATAAAATAAAATTAACTTAAAAAGAAAAAAAAAAAATAGAGAACCTCAAAATATAGCTGGGCCGTGCCCGAAACATTGGATAAACCACCCTTCAACATTAACCAGCAACCTTCTTGGGCCGTAACCCAGCCCATAATTTTATAGCCCTTATTCGTCGTCATCATCGCTGCGATGTCAACAGATGATCCATCGCTTACTTGTAACCACGCTACAACAAAGATTAATAACGGAAATTAGTAAATAAATTGTACCAACAAAAAAAAAAAATAAAAAAAATTAGTAAATATATATTTATATGTATATTTATATATGTTCTGTATAAGTGTTTGAATCGAATTGGTCCTTATTTTTAAATAAAATGTGAGACTCAATTTTAGACATTAATTATCGACAAGATGTGTGGCTGAATAGNNNAAAAAAAAAAAAAAAAATTATACGAACTAAATATCATTCTGTATGAACTAAATATACAGTCTGAAGACTAACAGTATTGTCGCTGTCGGTCATTGTTGGTCAATGTCGGCCAACGACGGCCAGTTTAATTTTCTATTATACCATTAATTTAATATAATGATTATTATTTTTGATTATATAAGCAATGTAAATTTTAATTGATTAGTACGATTCATTCATGATCAACAGGTATAATTCAGTCTCATTCTTATTATAATGATTAGACGCTCATACTCTTTCAGTAAATATATATACTTTCATATTAAAATATTATACTTCAAATCTATTTTTTTTTTAAAAAAAGTAATATCTTATAATAAATGTATACATTCTTTTTTTTTTTGGTAATTCTAACAGTTAGACAATCGAACGACAACGTTTATGAAATTACGTTACCCGAAAAGGTATAGATTTTGTCTTCCTCAAGATCAAATGTCTGAGTAACACTATCAAATGAATGACTTCTCTTGGTAGCGACAATGTAATTGTTGTTGCCACATTCTCTATGTTCTATTACGGTACCTCCAAAGGCTTTCCAACCATTAAACCCATCATGTAATTCTGGATTCACAACTATTCCACCCTTATACTGAGGCCTATGTGGCTTTTCCAAGCACTGCCAATTGATGAAGAAATAATTAAAAATAAATAAAAAATACAAAAACCAGATTAATCAAATTAAACAAATAATAATAATAATAATAATAATAATAATAATAATAATAATAATAATAATAATAATAATAATAATGATGATGATGATGTGGTCATGATTGTATTCGTATACTAATTAAGGTAAAGGACTTGCCTCATCGGTGAATGAATAGTCATAGTCCACTGCATAAGCTTGAAAACCTGAAATTAATGCACAAAATAATGATCATAATCATATAAAGATAGTAAAAAGTAAATGCAAGTTAAATATAGTACCTGCAGAGAGGAGAATTTCGCTGAAAATGAAGAGCAAATAAGAATTTAAGAGCTTCCCCATGTATGTATAATTAGAGTATCTAAGATGCTGCCCTAGCAAGAGTTTTTGTCTTGTTTATATAAAAGAAGTTAATGCAAGTAAATTTGGTAGTGGTGAATACAAAAGGTGCTGTGAGGGGGCCCCAACAATTAGACATGTTGACTCTTTTAATTTTTGGAATAAAAATGCATCTTATATTGTAAAATATCATATTTTGATTGATGATATATATATATATATATATATGTTTTTTTAAGATGTGACATTTCAATATTATTAGTTATAACTGTTGTATTATGTATTGTAGTGTTAGGTTTATAGGCCCACCTGAAGGAAGACTCATGTTATGTCTTTATATACATGTACATAGCCCTGTGTTAATACAAGAAAATCATATATTTTTTTTACTTCTTACATATTATCATACTAGGGTAAGGTCACATATAGACTTGGTCATTTGTCGCTCGTTTCCAGCTGCTGTTGACTCTCACCACCCACGCCATTCGCTCCGGCTTCCCAAGGCGAGTCTTTGCCTGAAAAATCGTCGCAGTCACCGGCGCGTGTGGGTCCCACACGCCTCATCTTCGTCGCAGCGCCGTGATCTTCAGTCGGCGCGTTATAGTCACCGCCATATCCGTTCGCCGCCGTTTTCAACTGTCGACTCGTCTCGTCGTTGGCTACATCCTGGTGTGATCGGTTCTGGTTTTCGTCACGTTTTTAATTTCTGCCCGTATTTATATTTTGATTGTTTCATGATCCTATTCGTACCTTTATTTTCGTCTGTTTCATGACATTGTGTTGATCTGCTTTTGGATATGGATCGTATGGATGTGATCTTCTATTAGTGTTGTCTTATCAGGGAATAATTATAGTATTGGGCACAATCTATGAAGAGTTTTTTAATTGAGAGAAAATTGTGGCGAATTGTGACTGGTGATGTGTTGCCACCTCTGCAGCCGTCTCTTTAAGAGGATTCCAACCCTACACCGCAGGCTCTTACAACATACGTCGATAAGTTGGAGGATTGAGATAGTAAGAACCACTAGATTCTTACTTGGTTACGGAATACTTCAGTCCCTGTTATTCAGATGCAGATTGCCCAGTTTGACAATGCAAAGGAGACTTGGAATTTTTTGGTTGCTCGATTTCAGACTACAGGCTTGGTTCACTATTATCAGCTTTGGATCACCTTGCATCCCACCAAACATCAAATGGGTCAATCGGTCAATGAGTTTTTTGCACAAGTTCAACCTATCCGGTATCGTCTCCCACAAGATGAGATTAGTCTGGATCACCTTGATCTTATTCAGATTTTGATGGCTCTTCGTCCTGAGTATGAGGTTGTTTGTGCTTCTCTCTTACATCGTCATCCACTGCCTACTCTTGATGTAGCTATTCAAGAGATCACTTTTGAGGAGATTCATCTTCAGTTGGCCAAGACACCACAACTTGAGTTTGCATTAGTTGTGCCTACTTCTGCTTCTGCTTCGTCACATCAGTCTCAGCCACCAATCTATGTTCATTATAGGATTTGCAAGAGCTCTGGTCACCCTTTTGCCACTTATCTTAAAGTGGAGTGCCACATCTGCCATGCTTGGGGTCATATTGGTCCAAATTGTCCAACCAAGTCATAACGTTCGGGAGGTTCATTTTCCCGATATCGGGGGTCTCGTGGGTCTTTTTCATCGATCCCTTCTTCTATTACATCAGCTGTCAATAATTAGCCTCATACTCGTCTTATACTCTTCTACACATAGAAACTATTCTCAAACAGGTTATCCATTCCATTATGCTATATCTTCTACCGCAGGTAACACTTATTTTATTTTGATTCTGGCTGTTGCAGTCACGTGACCTCTAGTCCACAATTTTTGTCTTCCTCGTCTTCTGTATTTGCTTTACATCCTATACATGCTGTCAATGGTACTCATATGACTGTCACTCACACTGGTCTAGTTTCTTCTCCTTCCTTGTATCTTCTCGACACATACTACATTTCTGATTTAGCCTTGAGTCTTATCTCTGGTTGTCAATTGATTGAACAAGGTCTTAATGTTATATTTTCATCTTCTTGTGTTCAGGTTTAAAATTCACAGACGGGACTACTTCACGGGACGGGTCGCAAGCGGGCCGGTTATTTGAGCTTAAGTCTCTCCATGCCCCTCGATCTTGTTCATTTTCTGTTGTTGTTACCAATAATCAGTCCACTTTCTAGTGCCATCTACGTTTAGGGCATGCGTCTTGCACTAAAGTTCATTCTTTATATAATAAGAGTCTTTTAGGTCCAGGTCGGTTTGAGTCTTTCAGTTCTCTTTACTGTAAACTTGGAAAACACTCGGCTCTTTCTTTTTCTAAAAAATTGTCAACTGCTGATACACCTTTTGCCTTGGTACATTTTGATATTTGAAGTCCTTCCCATGTTTCCTCTATGAATGTTTTTCGATACTTTGTTATTTTTGTTGATGATTTTTCTTGTTTTACCTGGATCAATTGTCTCAAAAAATCGTTATGTGTTACCCACCATATTTATCTGTACTGACAATGCCCTTATGTACAATGATTCTACCTTTTTAAAATTTCTTTCTGATCAGGGAACAGTCGTTCAACTTTTGTATCCTTATACTTTCCAACAAAATGGACGAGCAGAACGTCAATACGTCACATTCTTGATCTTTACCTTTCTGCTAAGTGTCATAATCATTTTTTGGGGTAAAACAACCTTGACTTGTGTTTATTCTATCAACCGATTACCATCATCAGTTCTTCGAGATATCACCTCTTTTGAGAGGCCGTACAATCAGTCCTTGATTATACACACCTACGCCCTTTTGGTTGTGTTTGCTTATTTCTTTTCACATCACATGAGCAAACAAATTAGAACACTGAGCTCGTTTGTGTTGTTTTTTGAGTTATGGGGGGGGGGGGGTTAGGTGTTGGGATCCTATTTCTAATCGATTGCGCATTTCGCGTCAAGTTACCTTTTGGGAATATAGTACTTTTTCATCATTGTTTAAATTTCACATTCCGTTTGTTTCGGCGTCCCCTTTCTTCATGTACATTACTTTGGATCTCTTTCCAGATACTTCTCCTTGCTCACAGCTCATTGATACTCTTGTCATGCCTCCGTCTTCTGAAATTGTTCTACCTGCGCATCCTGAACCGACACTTCCTGTTGAGTCCACTTCTTTCCGTACCTTTGAAACTGGCAGTCAACTCGTGTAAGTCGTCCACCTACTGACCTACTTGAATATCATTATTATTCGGTCATACTCTATCATCATGATCCCAGGTCTTTTATTGAGGCAAGTGTTGATCCATTGTGGCAACAAGTTATGACTGAGGAATTGCAGGCATTGGAAAAGACTCATACATGGGATTTGATGGATTTACCTGCTGGCAAGACTCCCATGGGATGCAAATGGGTTTATAAGATCAAGTCAAATTCTGATGGATCTACTTAGCACTACAAAGCTCGTCTGGTTGCTAAGTGTTACTCACAAGAGTATGTCATAGATTACGAAGAGATCTTTGCTCTGGTTGTTCGTCTTACTATTGTCCGGTGTTTACTTGCAGTTGTTGTCGTTCGATGGTCTTTTCTACAGTTAGATGTCAAGAGTACCTTCTTGCACGGTGCCTTAGTTAAGGAGGTTTACATGGCTCCTCTTCTGGGGTCCTTGTCTTATGGGAAGGTTTGTCATTGTTTGTCCCATTTTTGTGTCTTTATTTTAGGTTTATTTTCTTTATATTTTCCCCACTTGTAGGATTTTCATAGTTATTTGGTCCAATTATGTGGTTTTGTGTTTTTCTCTTTAGTTTCGTTTTGTGCGTCTTTTTCCTGTATTTTGCTTCGCGTTTTTCTGTGTTTGTGTTTTCAGGAGGTAGGTTGTGCCGGTCGAGGATAAGATTTCTTGAGCTGAGACCGTGATATCTAAGAATACCCATTGTCGTGCTCAGAAAGTTGAAGGAAGGACCGAAAAAATGAACTGGAGGTGTGCCCAGAATTTCTCGCGACTCGCGAGATGGTCGCGACTCGCAAGTTCAACAGAGGCTAAAGATGAAGTTCGCGAGCACGAGTCGCGATTCGCGAGTCAAGGTCACGACTCGCAAGATGGAGTCGCGACTCGCGAGACAGGTCGCGATTTTCCCCAGAGATTGAAGAAATTTGACGACACACGACTCGCGAGAAGTCGCGACTCGTGACCTGGAAAAAGTGAAAGTCGCGACTCGCGACTTACTCGGCGCAAATTTCGAGGACGGGATTTTTACTTTAGAATTTCAACCTAGGGATCATAATTCGACTTTCAGACTTCGTTTTTACGTTTTTTCTCTCTAGAAACTCATTCCTTTTCATTACTTTGCACTTTGGATTTGTTCTTGGAGATTGAAAACTCTTATTTCTCGCTTAGGATTTGGATGCTTTTGGATTTAACATTGGGATTTTATATTGATCGTAAGTTTCTTTCTCAATTTCTCTATTGATGATGATGACTTGGGTTATTGAAATTTGTGATGTTGAATTCCATATGAGTAGCTAAATCCATTTGCTAGGGATAGGGGATGATTGATTAGGTTCGATTAATGATTGCTTGTTCTTGATTGCTCATGTCTATTCGAGTTGTGTTTATTCTAGGGTTAGTAGACTGATCACCTTTCTAACCTAGCTAATCAACGTGTAGAACCGAGAGGGGAGACGTTGGTCGATTTAGGCTCGTTTAGGATAGACTTGTTCGGAGATGTATTGTCTATGTGTTGTTGGAATTGATAGTTGATCGTTTACATTCACTCTCTTGTTACGAAGAGTTATTGAGAGTGAATCTATGAACAAGAAACGATTCAATTCCTTTAACCGAGCAATTGATTGCCCAGTAATTGTGTTAGAACCGAAAGCAATTATCACCGATTCCCTAGTTTTTTAATCATCGAGTTAATTCATTTGCTATTTAAATTGCTTTTCATTTATTTTGAAGTCATTAGCTATAATTGAAACCAAAACCATTGAAATAGAGTGTTTAGGAATTTTT